CATGCGTGGCGCCTGGTACAGATGGATCCTCTTAATCTTGCCGGACTGCCAGACTGATTAAGGAGTTAGAGACACAGGACACACACACACAAACACACACACACACAGACTGGAATGGCCTCTTGACTTCTCTGTTGAAGCTAACAGCAGTAAACCAACAGCAGATTGTTGGGTAATTAAGCATATCAGATGTGTCAATGCTTGCTCTCTTTTCATTTAGATGACAGTGACTTACATTGCCATTGTCACTCAATAAGAACGTCTTTAAGCCACAGTTACTGCTGCAGCGGCTGGAGGGAGATTTTGGTAAAGGATTGGAAAAACATTTAGCATGAACCACAATTGTGTGAATTCTGGTCTTTATGTTTGAATTTTTTTTTTTTTTTCCAAAATGTATGTGTTGCAGTAATCTATAGCTATATATCCCTTGTTTCTTCTTGGCTTCATGCAAAATATTCAAAAATAGTAAGTGTGCTTCAAGTCTGCATCTTTCAATGGTTTAATACACTTTAATATATAAAAACGTATTTGTACGAAATAAAACCAGACATGGAGTCAAAGTAATTCTTTTTGATAAATCAAACAGTGAACATTATTTTTTTTTATTCAATATGAAGAGGTAAACTTGTAAGTGGCTAAATAATTGATCAGATATTACCTATTTATAATGTTGATCCATTTCCAGTTTCAAAGCTCCATAGGATTTTATTATTTCGTTTCCATTTACTTAATAATTTAGCAATAGTAAACAAAAAAATAAAGCACAGATCTGCAGTAAATTTTATAAAGAAAATTCAGACTGGATCTACTATATGTTTCAGATCTTATTTAATGCATATGGCCAATGCCGTGCATCATAACTCCGTACAGTTGGTGTCAATTGTTCTAAAACAGTAGAATGATTTTTCTACTGTCTTTGGCGCCCCCTGCAGTCTAGAAAACTTAATTACATACTCAGACCAATCTTCATTGATTTTTCATACTTGGCTGCTCACATCAAGTAAAAATGTTTTAGAGTTTAAACCTTCAATTTGTCATCATTTCAAGATCTTATTTTTCAAATAATAAATTATGTGTTGTTCATGGATCTGAAAATGACTCGCGTCTCATTAGAATCTTACCAAAGAGTAAAATGTGACGTAACATAGATTCTTACAGTTGATGATACCACTAATTGTTACAACTCGAGTTCATTAAGCTACAAATATTTAACAATCTTCACAGAAGTGCAGCTGCTTTGTCACCTCTTGCCAGCAGTCAATGTTTAAGGAGAACTGGAAACCAGGGATGCACGAACTCACGTCTAATTCTAGAGTGGCCAAATAAGAAAACATGCACGTTGGGTTGTGGGTTAAACCACTGAAGATCATAAAGACTTCACACAAAGACTTTAGCTGGGATTTAAACCCAGGACTTTCTTGCTGCAAGGCAACAGCTGCATCACTGTGCAGGCTGCCATAACAGATAACATTCAATCAAATTAAAGCCCTCACACACATTCAGTTTGGCAACAAACTGTCAGAAATATGGAGAATGTTCTACGAAATAGAAATAATAAAAAAAACAAAGAGATGGGAAGATGAGTTGTGATCTTCTGATAATCTGTAAGAATAAAATAATACAGCTTAATTTAATATTTAAAAAAGGCCTTCTTCCCTCCGGGGTGATGTGTCATAACATTTAGTGACTACAGTATTCATGGTTTTTCTTTTTTTTGGGGGGGGGGGGGGGATTAATTATGCATTCATAAAACAAAGCTTTTTTGTTTTTTGGC